ACCCCGAGCATCCCCCGTCTCACCCCAGCCCAGCCCGGCCGTGCCTCCAGGGAAGATGCTCAACGTTATGGATTTCTCCTGCTCGGACCCGCTTTACTCCAAGTACGAGGAAAACTGCGAGATGAAAACCGGAGACCTGCAGGGCTTGGGGCAGCCCGAGCAGCAACTTCTGGCAGAGGCCGATTTCCTGGGAGGTAAGGGCAGGGGGGAGCTGGGCAGGGATGAGGGACCCCGCTGGGAGGGATAGCTCCGGCCGGGAATCGGGCATCACTCCCTCCTCTGCCCCCCCAGCCTGCTCCCAGCCCCTGGCTGTGGGTGCAACAGTCCCCGCTAGCGCAAGGTGGGGGTCCTGAGGGTCCTGCTGGGGAAGGTTGGGTGATGCCCAGGGCTCCCTGTGTGGTCCTGGGGACCCGGCTAGGACGGGGACCTCGCAGTGACGCAACGCCAGCCTCCCGCTGTTCCCCCGTATTCCACCCCCCCCATCCCTGCAGCCCTCCGTCCCTCTAACCGCCCTCCCCTCTGCGTCCCCAGGTGAGCTGCTGGGTGCCCCGATGAGCGCCGGGGTGGTGGATTACTCCCTCCCGGGCAGCCAGCCCTCCCCTTCGCTCAGCTACACCGGCAGCTTCTTCATCAAGGCGGTACCGGAGCATCCGCAGGACCAGGAATCCCTCTTCAACCTGATGTCGGGGATCCTGGGCATCTCCCCCTTCGCTTCCTCTGAGGGCCACCAAAGGCACCTGGATGCTCTTTACCCCTGTCCCGAGGTGGCTCAGAGCCAGCTGGACCTTTACGCCGCCTGCCAGCCCGAAATGAATGGATCTGCCCAAGCCCCCTTCCCGGAGCAGGGCTACGGCGGCTTCCCCACAGCAGAGGGTGCTCAGCCCCTCCAGGCACAACCCACCTTGGGCAACACCTCGCAGTGCTTCTTCCAGCCCAAGCTCCTGGACAACAAGCAGGACATCAAGCTGCCCTCTGGTTCCCCACCCCTGGACAAGTTTAAAGCCTCCTGCGCCCAGTGGGAGCCCATCACCCAGCATCAGGCCTACTTGCCCACCGGCTACCATTCTCCTGAAGCCTTCCCGGCTGGGGAGAGTGGCCAGGGGCTGTTCCACCCACTGGGCTCCAAGATGGAGACCGTCTTGTCCGTCAGCTGCCAGTCGGAGCTCGGCAGCCTGGCGGAGGACACTGCCTGCTTCAGCACCCATCTGGGCTTCGGCTGCGAGCCAGAAAACTTCCCGGCCCGCGGGGACTTTGCCGACACCAAGATCCACAACCTCCCTCCTGCGTTAATGCCGGAATTCGACGCTTCCTTGGCTCAGCCTGAAGTCCTGCCGGGTCTGATGAGCTCTGCCAAGCTCCTCCATCCTCACCCCTCGCCCTCTGTGCCCCCCACGGACTTTTTGGGCCACCCCACCTCTTCCTCCATCCCTTCCCTGCTGCCCACCAACCCTCCCGCCTTGGCCGAGCCCAAGAAGAAGACGCGCCGGACCAAGTGCTCTTCCAAGTGCTTCTGCCCGAAACCCCATGAGAAGGCTTTTGCCTGCCCGGTGGAGAACTGCATCCGGAGCTTCGCCCGCTCGGATGAGCTCAACAGGCACCTCCGCATCCACACGGGCCACAAACCCTTCCAGTGCCGCATCTGCCTGCGGAACTTCAGCCGCAGCGACCACCTCACCACCCACATCCGCACCCACACCGGCGAGAAGCCCTTCTCCTGTGACACCTGCGGCCGCCGCTTCGCCAGGAGCGACGAGAAGAAACGCCACAGCAAGGTCCACCTGAAGCAGAAAGCCCGGACGGAGGAGAAGCTCAAAGGTTTGGGTTTCTTCTCGGTGGGTCTCTCCTTCGGGACACTGTGAAACCCCAACCTGAGCGCTGGGAAGACGGCGTTTCCCGAGGTCCCCCCGAGCATCTCACGGGAGAGCCGGGGTGGGAATGTCCTCCTGGGGTGGCCCCGGAGAAGATGACAGCAGGTCGGGCCGTGCCAGGGAGGAGAGGGGCACACGGGAGGCAGAGGCGATGCCGCGGCGCTGGACCACGGGCTGCGGCGGAGGGATGTGGCAGCTCCGGCCACCCGGAGCCATCTCCACACTGCAGGGACTGAGTCATTTTTACAGCTCCTGCTCCGAGGAGAGGGGGAAAAAAAAACCAAAACCAACCATGTACAGAAAGAAATCCCCCCCGAGGTGGGGTTTTTTAATCTACCCAAACCCCCAGACACCCCGTGTTTGTAGCGACCTGACTGTGATTTCCCCTGCCAGCACTTTAACGCGGAGCTCCCGACCGGGTATTTACTGGCCGGCACGGTCGGGGGCTGCGGCTGCACCGGTCCTTTCTCCCGAAGGAGATGCTGCCGGGCTCCAGCAACCGGTGCGTAAGGGTCCCTTTGGAAAGGTGATGTTGTTGTTGTTATTATTTTCCTGTTTGTAAAAAAAAAAAAAAAAAAAAAAAAAAAGAAAAAAAAAAACCTATCAGGAATATTAGAAAATTGTGTCTATTTTTCTAATTAAAGATCTGAGCTGATCTAAGACCTTGCTGGGGTTGCTCTCTGCCTTTCAATCCCCAACGCCAGTGCTGTTTCTGTTGCGTTTTTGACCTCTTAGCTGCTGCGTATGGGGAAAGAGGTGCTTAAATAATGAGCAGGGAGAGAAAAATGGATCAGCGCAGCGGGTGGGTTGGCATCCTGCCTCCCGAGCATCCCCAAATCCCCAGGGTGGGTGGCTCATCCCGGGAGAAGGGTCTTGTGCTGGGAAGCAGAGGGGAAGGGATCCCCGCTCCTCACCGGTGGGTCCCCCCTCTGAAAAGGGGGACGTGGCTCCGGGTTTATTCCGCTGGGGCCGAGCCCTGCAGGGATCTGCCCTGCGTGGATCCAAAGCTGCAGGGTCAGCTGTGGGGACCCCAAAGCCCAGCCCAGAGCCCCCACCCTGGGCTCCTGGTCCCCTGTGGGGTGTGGGATGCCCTGTGCGCCCCAGCAGGCTTCACCTGCAAGAACCGGGGTGAAATACAGCCCCGCTCCCCATCTTCGTTCTGGCACATCCCCAGGGCTGGAGGAGATCCAGGCACCATCAGGCAGAGGCAGGCGGGCAGGATGCGGCCCCCTGCGAAGCCGGCGGGGGGCTGTTTTCTCCCTCCCTTTCAGTGTTTGAAGCCGCCGAGATGCCGTATCCCTTCTCCTGGGACCAGCCAGCAGCCAGCTGCCCCAGGAGGAGATTTTGCACCACGGAAGGCTGCAAGATAGCAGAGCCTTCCTCCTCCAGCAGCTAAAAATCAGCCAAAACCATACATGCCCCAAATCTCCTCCTTCTAACAGAAGATGCTAACTCGGATGGGGCACGCCGGTCTTTGGGTTTGATTAATCAGGAGGAGAAGGTGCCTGCAGGAAGGGAGGGAGCTGGGCGGCAGGGATGGGGCTCAGCATCCCTGGTTGGAGGCTCAGTGATCGTCATCAGTGCTCGGGCATTTTGGGGATTATTGGCCTTTTCTTGCAGAGGGGGAAACTGAGGCAGGGAAAGGGCACAGAGCATGGCTGCAAATCTGCTCTTTCGGGCAGATTTTGTCCCCTCCACTAGCCCTGGAGAGGGAGGATCTGCCCTCCAGCTGTGTTATGGAGGAGGGAGGTCTCCTTCCCCAGGTCCCCTCATGTCCCCCAGCCCTTTGCTGACATGGATGGGAGCATTCTGGGGCTAAACCCCAGGGAGCCCAGGAAAATCCACTGCCTGGCACCAAGCATGCTGTGGGGTGGCCATGGGGTGGGGAGGACCCCGTGGAGATGGGGTGGGAAGTTGGGCAGGGGCCATGGGGGCTCGTGGGAGGCTGCTAGCAGGGGTGGGATGGGGAAAGGGGCCAGAAGGAAGCCTGGTTGAGGGCAAAACCCTAAATGTCCCCTCGGGCCTGTCCCTAAGAGTTCACACCTCTCATGGCACCCAAGGGTGCTCATGCCCTTTTGGTGGGCACCCACTGGCCCCAAGCACTGCTGGCCCCAGCAGCCAAACCATCCCACGTGTGCAAGGGCCTGATCCTGAGCGAGGACCTCTCCGTGGGGTGCAGATGACCCCAGGCACCAGGGAAAACTCTTCCTCTTGGGGGACACCCTAGGTATTGTTAATAAGGACCTCAGCACCCAGGTTTGGGCACCTCTCGCCAGCAAACAGCCCCACTTTCCCCCGTGCCACCGGCCATGCATGATGTATGAGGCCTTTATTAATACCCCTCCGAAAGTGCATCTATTATTGATGCTGAGTCTGAAAGCTCTGTGAAGGCACCCAGGCTCGAGCCCTCGCCCTCTGCTCCCTGTCCCTGGGAGGGAGGAAGGCACCCACCATGGCAGCTGGGTGCAGCTGATTCTGGGGTGCTACTGATTCTGGGGTGCAGCCAGACTGAGCACGCATTCTTGTGTTCTTAGAGGAGGAGGTGCCCCGAAATCTGGGGCTACTCCATGATGGGGATGGCCATTCACCCCCAGGCTGGTCCCAACGCTGCCGTCTTCCCCTGTGCCCACAGCAGAGACAAGAAAACACATCAGTGCTGGGTGCCTTCAGCACTGGGGACCAGGCTGAGGTGCTTGGGGGATGGATCAGGACCAAGCCATGGATTAAGCCAGGGTGATGAGGGACTGGATCAGGAGCAAGCCAGGGAGCAAGATGGGGTGCTTGGGGACCAGCTGGGGACCAAGCCAGGTGCTCAGGGACTGGGTCAGGATCAAGCCAGGGACCAAGCCAGGGTGCTCGGGGACTCAGTGAGGACCAAAGCAGCAATTAAACCAGGGTGCTTGGGGACCAGCTGGGGACCAAGCCAGGGTGCTCAGGGACTCAATCAGGACCAAGCAAGTAGTTAAGCCAGAATGCTTGGAGACCAACTGGGGACCATGCCAGGGTGCTCAGGGACTGTCTCAGGGCCAAGCCAGGGTCCTTGGAACTGTGGGTGCAGCCCAGGATGGGGAAGGAGCAATGCGGCCAGCCCCCGGGGGGGATGCTCTGGGGTGACCCCAGCCGGGAGGCTGCCAGGGGCAGGGGTGGGACTGGGGGGGCAGG